CAGTCATATCTTTAGCATGGAAATGGGATGAGCTTTCTCCTCAGGCTCTGGTGCAGTGAATTGGATTTCCTCTGCGCCAGCTGCAGGGCACCACAGGTGTCCACATCCCAGCAATCAAAGTGGTAATTGGGACATGAGGGGACAGAAAAAATGCCCTTGTTCTACATGCCATTTCCAGGTCAGTTTTACAGGGTAGATGGAGTGACCAGCAGATGAGAGTCTGGAGTCCGTATCATTGCTAGTGTTGGGAGGATGCATACATTGCTGGAGAGACTGGTCTGTCCTATGCTCCACCTGCGAACGATGGACTGAAGCTGCGTAACCTCCATGCCATTGCCATCATATGTCATCTTATACAAACTCTTGCTGACTTAGTATGACGTACGCTGGCTCCTAATCTAACCCAGAAACAGGTCACATCTCTCACATGCCTTTTCTGGGTTTCTCTGGAGTCATTTGAGGCAATGGCTTCCTCTTACTTTGCATCTCAAGTGACAAGAAAGCTCCTGGAATATGAAAACCAGGTGCAGAAACCACGAGTACAGGCTTGTCCCTTAGCACCTTCACAGAAGCTGCCAGAACCCAGCACAGGCTCAGTTAGTTCTTTTTGTTTGTTTGTTTTTAGGCAAGATTTCATATAGCCCAGGCTGGTCTAGAAGTCACTACCGAGCTCAAGTTGACCTGAATTCCTGGTCCTTCTGCCTCTCTATCTCCCATGTTCTAGGATTACAGGTGGGCACCACCCTGCCAAATTTAAGGTAAACTTTTGAATGTTTTTCTTAAACCATAAATGAACTTCAATTAATGTCTGAAATCCAAAGGCCATGTGAAGTTGGTGGTGGATGTTGAAACTGGATCTGCAACAGCCACCTTTATTCTTCCATTCAGTCTGGAATATAAACCCTGGCTACTACCAACGATGTTACCCTAGGACCCTTGGCAAGTTGATAGAGCTCCTGCACTTTGAGTTGGAATACCAGGTACCTCCCTTCAGTGAGATTGGTGCTTGTGCATTTGGGGTAAATATGTACAGGGTTATGTAACTGCAGCATATGGAAACTGGCAGGTGTACACAATTAGTCCTTCACCCAAGCCTCTCTTCATGGTTAATGTTGACTGTGGCCATAGATAATGCTCTATGATCTGGAAACACCTGTGTTTACGAGTCTCTAGTCTATTATGATGAACACTGTGTATGCCATGGTAAAGACGCCTGCCATAGAGTGTTCCAGGCACCATCAGCACCCACCCAGTTACCATCAGCAAACAGAGTTGCTCAAGAATGAAACAACATCTTCAGGCCAGAATTTGAAAAGCTTATTGTTTACAGAAAAAAGTAGGTAATAAAACATAAATATTACTTTCTGGATTGAGAAAAAGAATTAAAGTCACAGTACAAATTGCATGCCGAAACTCGTTACTAGAAAGAGTGAAGACAGTGTTTGTAGCCAATTAGGAATCTTAGCCATGCAACTCACATATTCAGTGTGATCCTTATCAAAGCCCTGAGGGCATTTTTTCAAAGAAATATTCTAAAATGCAAATGGAATCCCAAAAGACTCTGAGTAGCCAAGATGAGCTTACTTGCCGCGTCACTATAACTGAAACAGTGTGGTGTTGACAGGTGTGGGCTGGGGGTGGGGTGGGGATGGGGTAGGTTATAAAGACTCATAGAAAGCAACTGGTACCCACCCTTGCATACAAGACCAAATGATATTTGACAGAGTACCAAGATGGAAAGGACAGTCTTTTCAACAAATGATGCTGGGAAGTGCAGAAGATTCAAATGCAGAAGAATCGAGCTGGACCCTCACCTTAAGTCCGTAGATGGACCATGACTTAAACATGAACACTAAAACTGTGAAACCCTCAGGACAATGCAGAGGAGCCGCTTTCTGACGCAGACCTGGTGACTCTTGGACATGGAGCCAAAACTCCAGGAGTGACAACAACGATAACAAGTTGCACTGCATGATTTATTTTTTTTTAGTCACAGAACTTGGATGCTTTGAAGGACCTTATCAACAGAGTGAAAGCCACCCATGAAATGGGTGCGGGGAAATTGAAAACTGGAAAGTGTTCACAGGAGTGTAAAATGGCATACCCACTAGAAAAATCATGGAGTTTCCTCACAAATTTAAAACTTCTGTCTGACCTATGTGACTCATGTTTCCAGTTACAGACACATACCCAGAAGTGATGAAAGCAATGACCTAAACCCCTATTTCTCCACCCTGGATTATGGCAGCATCAGCCTTGATAGGTGAAGAACAGGGAGACATGGGTGTGTCCAGTGTAAGAGTATACTAGTGGATAGAGAAAATATGGTACATTTCACAATGGAGGAAAAAAATGGAATCTTGAAATTTGCAGGTAAATGGATGGCACTAGAAGAAACCATCCTGAGTGAGGTAACCCAGTCACAAAAAGACAAACATGGTGTGTAGTCACTTATATATGGATTTTAGACATGAATCAGGGGATTACTAGCCTACAATCCCACTGCCAGAGAGTCAGGGAAACAGGGAGGACCCTAAGAGAGATATGCATGGTACCCCAGAGAAGGTGAAACGAGGCAAGATCTCCTGAGCAGATTTTGGGAGCAAGGGGGGGAGGAAGGGATCCAGGAAAAAGAGAGGGGGAGAAGAGGAGGGGGGGAAGAGAATATGGGGGAGCAGGAAGGTTGAGTTGGGGAAGAATAGAGGAGAGCAGGATGAGAGAAACCATAATAGAGGGAGTCATTCTACGTTTGAGGGGAGATCTGGCACTAGTGAGATTTCCAGAGATCTATAAGGATGATACCAACTGGCAATCTAAGCAGTAGTGGAGAGACTACTTTAAATGCCTCTCCCTGATAATGATTTTGATGATTATCTTATGTACCATCCTAAAACCTCCATCCAGTGACAGAAGGAAGCAGAGGCAGACACCCACAGCTAAATACTGAACTGAACTCCTGGAACCCAGTGACAGAGAGGGAGGAGTGATGAGCAAAAGAGTCAAGACCAGGCTGGTGAAACCCAGAGAAACAGCTGACCTGAACAAGGGAGAGATCTTGGACCCCAGACTGATGGCTGAGAGGCCAGCATGGGACTGATCCAGACTCCCTAAATTTGAGTGTCAGTGAGGAGGCCTTGGGGAGTAGATCAGTATTTATCCCTGGCATATAAATGGACTTTGGGAGTCCATTCCACATGGAGGGATGCTCTCTCAGCCTGGACACATGGGGGAGGGCCTAGGCCCTGTCCCAGATGATATGACAGACTTTGGAGTTCCCTCATGGAAGGCCTTACCCTCCCTGGTGAGGGGTGGGGGGATTGGGTGGGGAGCTGGTGGGGAGGAGTGGGCATGGAGGGGAAAGAGAGGGAGCTGTGACTGACATGGGAAGCAAGCTTGTTTCTAATTTAAATATATAATAAAGTGTTTTTAAAAGATTGACAATTACAATACTGAAAAAAACAAAAACAAATCACTCAGCCTTAAAAAGGAAGGAAAGTCATATACAATCTACTAAAGACAATATGCAAAGCGAAACAGAGCAGTTCCGATGGATTGATACAGTATGACCCTATGCACACAAAGGACCCAGGAGCCCCAAATCTTAGGAACAGGAGGAAGGATGCTGGCTGCTTGGGAAGAAAGAGGAGTTGATGCTTGGTGGGTGTCAAGTTGAGATTTTTAGATATGTGGACTCTGAAAGTAGATGCTGGTGAAGGCCATACACATATACGAATATTTTCAGGGCCCCTAAGCTATGTGCCTAGACACAGCTAAGATGAGCTTTATGCTATTTTGTATTCATTTTTCTGACAAAAGAAGCATAACCTGGAATCCTGGAAAGGGGACAGATTGCAGAGTCTCATGGTGCTCAGAAAAGTCCACCAACAGTAAAGGGCTATGACATCCTTTCCATGCTGTGAAGTCCTAATAAAAACACCCTACCTTAAATGCAAAAGCTCTGAACCAAACTAAAAATGCAAGCATCTAGCTTCTCAGGAGTTAGTACCAAGGAGCTGCTGTGTCTATGAAGAGTGGTCCTGTTAACAGCACCGTGAAACTTCCATTTAATGCCATAGTTGAATCAGAGAGCTCTCCCAGGTCCTGGTCTAGCAACAGGCAACATGCTACAACTTCACAGTGAGTTTGCTCAATGAGATTAGAGTGTGCCTTGCTTTGCAAATCAGAAACCCTCAATTCACAAGCATACTTTTATGCTTGTTCAAATGGACAACTTTTTTTGAATAGTCTTAGGTATATTTATTATGTTTATATACTAAAATAATTAAAGTGATTTATAATATGTATTTATATATCTATATGGTTCTCTTGACATATATTGTATATGTACATATATACACATATAAATTAAAAATATATCAACCAACTATTTAAAGAAGTTAACTTCTTAAAATATTAGCTCAGTTAACTAAGCAGTAAACATATGAGGAAGATACTATTGTTATACATTTAAACTATAATACATGAAACAAATGATGTACAATAATAAAATGTATTGAATTCATGAAAACCCATCAGATCTGAAGATGAAAGAAAAATCTCAAAACATATAATAAAGTTAATATATTTATTTCTATCTACAACATCATACCACTATAAAGTGATGATTTTTTTCAAAGGATTGACTCTTCTTAGATTACAGAAAAAATACGTATATAAGCTACAGAACTTTTGGAAAACATCAGCCCTGAAATTATGATGCTAATTTCCATAAACATGCTGGGCAGGAGATTCAGGTCCAGCACTCAGTCAAGGTCAGCCTGAGTTACCTTTCTTACCTTCAGAAAGGAAAAAGAAAGACAGATGGGATAGAGAACAAGGCAGTTACACAGGTGTGTAGGCAGGAAGGAAGGGAGGAAAAGGAGAGGAGGAAAAGGAGAGAGGAGGCTAAGGGATAAGTCTGTTAAAATATATGAAGCAATGGGCGAGAACTCTAGCAATTCAAATGGACAACTTTAATTTAAGGCAAGGATGAGCGTTACCTTTACGTGGCTCCTGGAATCTCCATATGTCTGCAGGGCCAGCTGTAGCCTTTCCTTTGTTGACAGTGTGAGAGACACAAAGACTGAACCGGACTCAGTAACTACATCTTCTCCTCTTCTGCCAGATGTGGTCACTCTAGAGAAGAATAGAAAGACAGGATAATGAGGTTGATATTCACAATAAAACAACAATCCTACATGAGGGGCGTGGTTACTAGGACACATTGCTGTTTGTACTGCATTTGCAATCAGTAGGGCAGCAATAACAGGCTAAGCACACAGACATCCTGTGAGGGGGGATGGTGACACTGGCCCCCATATCACAGCACATTCCCTATAGAAAAATGTTGTAATGTGAAAATAGCATAAAACTATCATGTTTTGATACAACTACCTAAAGGAATTATTTGCGATTGGCTTGAAAAGCATTGAGATAATGTGGTGGATCATGAGGCTAGATGGAGAGTCACAGTTTGTATTTTATTTTCCTCACTTCAGGGATTAGTAAACCTACCTGTGGTAACACCCACAAAATATTTTTGCAAGAGCTCCTTATTTGCTGCCTTAAAAGAAAAACAAAAAAGCAAGTGTCCTGGTTTAATTCCTCATGCTGTGATAAAATACAAAGCAACTTAAAGGCAGAAGGAATTTATTTTAGCTTTCAATTCCAGGTTATAGTCCGTCGGTTCAGGAAGGTCAGGGCAGGAACCCAAGTAGCTAGCCACATCACATCACAGTCAACAGCGTTGAGAAATGGACATACCTGGGCTGCCTGCTTGTTAGCTGCTTCTTTTGTTTTTGTTTTTTTTTATTTATTTAAACATTTGTTTTCATTTTGCACACTAGCCCAGTTCCCTCTCCCTCCTCTTCTCCCATCCCACCTGCTGGTTTTCCACACCCCCATCCACTCCTCAGAGGGAGTAAGGCCTTCCTTGGGAAATCAACAAAGTCTGGCATACCAAGTTGAAGCAGGACCAAGCTCCGCTCACCTGTATCAGGGTTAATCCAGGTATCCCACCATAGGGAATGGGCTCCAGAAAGCCAGTTCATACATTTCCGATAGTTCTGGTGCCACTGCCAGGGTCCTCCCCAACAGATCAAGTCACATAACTGTCACCCACATTCAGGGGGTTGAGTTCTGTCCCTAATAGGTTTCCTGGCTATTAGTCCTTAGTCTGTGAGCTCCCATAGATCAGGTCAGCTGTTTCTATGGTTTTCCCCATGTTAGCTGGCTGTTTTTTATGCTCGGTTAGATATCTTTTAACTCTTACACAATTCAGGGTCCAGCCCATGAAATGGTACCACAATCAAGGCAGGTCTTCCTATATTCATTAGTAATCAAGACACCACTCCACAGATAAACCAACAGGCCAACCTGTCTAGATAATTCCTCATTAAGAGTTGCTTCCTAAGTGACTCCAGGTTGTGGCGTGTTGACAGTTAAGATGAAGGAACACAGTAATATCTTAAGGAATATTCTAAACCTTTTATTTATTGAAACTATAAAACAGCTTCCAAGTATTTAGCCTGCAATGGATTTATAACTCCTGCTTAATACTTATACAGTAGTCACAAGTACTAATACATGCAACATTAGCCATTACCAAAATGGCTTGTAGACATTCGATGCTTCGTGAAAGAAGATACTGACTCTGTCATAGAAAGAGCACCCAGTGACAAATTTAAATATATCTTAGAAGCAACCCAACATAGAGCAAACAAGCAATTGAGTACACATTTGAGGGTTGTGTTAGTGATATGCTGTGATTAAAGTCATATTTTGTTTTCATGAAATGTTATTATGTAAGCATGCCTCACATCCATGGATAAATGTAAGTAGGCCTTGCTTCTTGTGGTCCAAGGGCTCTACCTCTACCACACTTTATAGCCTGAAATCAGGGGATGCCAAGGCAGGAACTTGGAGTAAAAGAACTAAAGCAGAGACCACTGATACTTACTGGCCTGCTTTCCATAATTTGCTCACCTTACTTTCTTATACAGTGTAGGATACTTCCCTAGGGGTGGCAATATCCATAGTGATCTGGGCCCTAATGCATCAATCTGCAGTTAAGAAAATGCTTCACAGACTTGAGTGTACACCAGTCTGACAAACAGAACGAACCTGCGCAAGAGCCTATGAGCTTTACTGGGCTTGCTCAACAAGCGTGTAGAGAGCATGGGTGACCCTAAACCAGCTACCGTGGGAAACTCTTCACCCAGCATTGATAATGGCTTCCCTACAGCCATGCAGATGGCATCACCCCTTCAGATGAACTTCCCCAGAAAGCACCTCCTAAGACCCTGAGGCCATGTGGAATTCTAGCAGAACTGCATACAAATGGCTGGGAGGAGAGGCTGGAAAATCAAATGAAGGTTCAATGACTTTCCCCAGCTCCTCCTCCTAATGAGGGAATGTCAGCAGTCAACAAAACAGATGGTGATGAGTGCCTGCTAGTAGGCACAACAATCTGATGAAGATGGAGGCTGGTTTACTCAGAGGACAGCATTCTATAACAAGTGGACTATAGACTACAACACCACACACACACACACACACACACACACACACACACACACTCGATGCCTTTTTCATGTGTGTCGTGTGTGTGTTCATACACCTGCGCATTTGCATACACATACCTATACATTATACTTTGACTAATATCTTCCACTGCGTAGAAATCTACAGGGAAGTTGACAGGATCACATAAGATTCCACCTTTGCCCAGTTGCTTAGTATTGGCGAAGAGAGTGCCCTGGGAGGTAGCCTATGTTGTGCGTTCACTTCCGGTAGATCCTGGATGAGCTCTAAGTGGAATATTTAGCATGCAGTAGAAACAAGCCCCACTATTCCCCTTGCTCTGTTCCCTCACTGCCCAGAAGAGAGTCTGGGCACTTTTCTTTAAGACATTCACCAATCTTTTCTTTGTAACTATATTCTTCATGTTTGTGTTTTAAACTGTTTTGACATAATTGAAGATTCAGATGCGGTTGGAAGAGATGCTATGAGGATGTCACTTCCCCTTCACTCTATACCCCTTGCATCTTGAAAAATCATGGGGCATCATCTACCCAGAGCGGCACTGGATCATCCTACCCTTGCTCAGACTTTGAAGTTTTATAGGAATATGTGTGTGTGTCTGTATATGATACAGTTGAACTGCTGACTATCCACCAGTGTGTGTGTGTGTGTGTGTGTGTGTGTGTGTGTGTGTGTAAGTAGTGTCTTCAGTGTGGTACTATTAGGAGATGTTGTCAACTTTGGGAATTGGGTCCCGGTGGATGACCTTGAAGAGAGCTAAGATGGCCTGAAGCTTTCCTCCCTGCTTTGCTCTGGGATTTTGACAGAGTTTGCTCTGCCTCCTGTTCCTCTCCACTGCATCTGGCACCCTGCCAAAGGCTTAAAGCGGTGTTCTTCCTGGGTTTGAGCTGAACGTAAATCCAGGAGTCAAAATCACCTTTTCTCTGCTAAGGTATTGATTCTGGGGATTTTGTTACAGAGGTGGGAAGCTGACAGACATCTGGCTAACCCTGTGTGCTCAGCGTTATAACACTGCCGTGTGTGTAGGTGGGGTGTCCACTGGCACTGTCAGCATGCAGAACACCAGCCATTCAAGGACACTAGGCTACTTACTCTTTTATAGCAAGCCCTTCTCTCTGCTCCCATCACCTCTGCCCCTCAGCCCCTGGAATGACAACATGACAAGAATGTGTTTTAAATGGAGTCTTGCACTAGAGGACCTTAGAAGTAGCTTTTCTTAATTAGCATTTTCCTCTGGGGACTCCCTGGGTTGCTTTGATCATTGACAGTTTGTTCTTTCCCATGGTTGAATGGCATTCCATGACACGTTGTCCCATGGTTAGACCTTCATCCTCTGTAGGACATCTGGGCAATTCTAGTTTGGGGTTCTCCAAACCAAAGCTGCTGCAAACGTTTGAGTAAAAGTTAGTGGGAATATTCCAGGTCGATAACTAAAAGGCTGCAGTGGACTACTTAGGAAGTATAAGGCTGAGTTTTAAGGGCATTACTAACAGGTTTTCCACCAAGTCTGTGCCAAATCACATACCATCAGTGTATCAGTCTCTTTGCCTCTGCCAAGTGTGGGGCTATGTCTATTTATCTCATCAGTCATTCTGGTGGTATGTGGGTACATATCTCTCGGGTTGATCTCCCCTTCCTTCATAGATGGTGGGCCTGAATATTGCATGGTCGGTCAACCCAAGTGACATCTGGCTCCATGCCTTTGTCCATTTTCTTACTGAGTTCCCCCTCTTTTAAATTTAAATTAGAATCAAGCTTGTTTTACATGTCAATCTCAGTTCCCTCTCCCTCCCCTTTTCCGCTGTTCCCCAATAGCCCCCTATCCCATCCCCTTGTTACTCCCCAGGGATCATCAAAGTCTGTAATATCTTTTGGAGCAAGGCCTAGGCTCTCACCCATGTGTCTAGGCTGAGAGAGTATCCCTCTATGTGGAATGGGCTCCCAAAGTTCATTCGTATACTAGGGATAAATACTGATCCATTACCAGAGGCCCCATAGACTGCCCAGACCTCCTAACTGACACTCACGTTCAAGGGGTCTGGGTCAGGCCTATGCTGGTTTCCCAGCTATCAGTTTGGAGTATATGAGCTCCCTCTTGTTCAGGTCAGCTGCTTTTGTGAGTTTCTCCAGCCTGGTCTTGACAAAAGCTGGTCGTGTGTTACATACTCAATCCTAGCTACGAACCAAGTTTTTCAGCTATTGTACCAGTGTTTTGCTTCTAATTTCCATGTCTTGACAGGATTCTTTGTTGAGGGAAAGCTGTAGCTTTTGATGAAATCTAACTTACCAACTTCTTATCTGGGTTCCATGAGTGTTCCATGAGCCCACTCATTCTTGGTTTCATTTTTTTTTTTTTTAGAAAGATTAAGTACTTTCCCTGCTGGGCTAGAGACAAAGATCAGTTGGTAAAATGCAGGAGGACCTGAATCTTACCTCCAGAGCCCACACCAGGTATCTGCACATCATGGCTCATGTCTGTAATCTCAGTGCTCAGAAGGTGGAGACTAGGGGATTTCATCAGCTTGAGTTCAGACAATCTAGACAAATCATCGAGTTCTAGGATGTCTTGATAAACAGGAAGTGGACAGCATCCT